GCTCGCGCAACCTATCTGCGGATTGCAGCTGAGAACTGTCACGTGCGTTGAAAACCAGGAAAAAGCAATCGCTGCGGAGCATTACGTCAGTCTGAATGCTGCGAAATTTACTTCGTTTTCCGGGTAACAAGATGTTTTAACTATATTTAAATAATTTGTGTAATACAGAACCTCCTATCGAGGAATATAATTCAGGAAATGATACAGAGCGTCAAATAGTTTGTAGTTATTTGTGAAGGAAGTTCTGAAAATTGAGCCTCGATTTTAAATCAATTCTTCATGGTATTTGGCTAATTTTATACAGATAAGATGAAGAAGGTGAAAACACTGTTTCAGTATTTTAAACAGTTATATCGTCGACTTAAAACGTAGCATAGAAAAATAATAGTATTATTTTAGCGTTAAATCTAAAGTTCAACAGGTCAACCCCCACTGTAGGCTTTAAATCAAAAGTGTTTAATGAATGGCATAAAAAAAATGGAAAAAAACCCCCCAGAAAAAACATATTAGAATTTCAAGAGTTTCATTGTTCTGCCTTCACATCTGTTTTGCTCTTTTGTGACACTAATATTCAAAAATTCATGTTCAAAAAGTAACATTTAAGATTCTGTTCTTAAAGTATAGATTTAAAATTAGGCTTTTTTTCAACTGGATGGAAAATCTCACAGTCATGAACTGATTATGATGGTTCAACTCAGTGGAAATCGGGATTAAAGACATATTCTTGTAGTTAAAGTATGTATTTCCGTTTTAGACGCACTAAAATGGAAATTAGTGCTGTATTTTGAGTCTAAAACTAAGGTCGGGCTCTCCTTTCTCACTCATTTAATATTTTTTTGTTCATTTTTTATGCTTAATGAATGCAACTGTACTTTTCCCAAATGTGAAACCTTTTGGCACTTACATGAGCTGCGCTGGAAATATACTAGATGTGACTCAGATATTGAGTGAAATTCATCACTGCGTAACGCGTTGTGTTGAAAGAGAAGCTGATTGCCACGGTGATTCAGAATCAAACTTCCCCTTCTGCTGTTGACCACTTGCTACACTTACAATGAGAAGAAGTGTTCATCATGTCAGAATCCAGACGCATCTGGACCAAACTATTAGTAGTTCAGAAAGTTGGACTGCTGAAGACATTAAATAGAAACTTTGCCTACCGAAACCTTTTGGAGTATGTTGCCCACCCCATTTGCACATGTAAAGGTTAATAGTTTTTGACATTTCTACATTTTTATAACGATACTTTGTGGCATTATTCTGATAACAATAAACATGACTAAGGTGTGTTTATTACGTCTTTTTGTATGAAACTGTATGGCTGTGAGTTCATGACACAGCAATCGGAGCCCCTCAAACATAAACACTGCTCTTGAAAAACACGATTCTTCAGGAAATCAATCTCATAATTAAGTCTGATTTGTATCACTAAACTGCACACACGATGCATTTCATCACATTTTCAAAGTTATTGATATTTATTGATGCTCTCATTGGACAAACAGTGGAGGAAGTAATAAAATATAACAATCCAAAGAACATGGAGTATGTTGTTCTTTAAAACAACTGTATCTGGAATTTGTTGTGACAATAAATCAAATTTTCTATCACAATAAGAAATGTATCACGATAAATGATAAACGATACAATAGCGTATCGAGAGTATCTGCAAACAGCAGTTTCAAAGTCTTGTCAGCATCAATTTTGAACTTTGACTAGGTCATTCTAACACATGAATATGCTGTGATCATTTTATTGTAGCACTTGCTGAATGTTCAGGGTCATTGTCCTGCTGGAAACTGAACCTTCGCCCCAATTTTTCTTGCAAGGTTACATTGCACTTACCTGCATCCACTTTTCATTAACTGAAAAAAATAGAGGAAGAATCATCTCCACTGCGAGATGATACCACCACCATGTCTCTCCTTGATGGTATTTTCATCAAAATGTAAAGTGTTAGGTTGCAGTGTCAGGCTCACCCTTGATTAAACCACACACAGATGAACATCCTTTGTCAATATGGGAATTTAAAAAGGTAATTGGTTGAACTGAATCGAGTGAAAGAGTTCTGTTCTCAGCTTAACAGGGCGATGAAACGTAGAGTAAAATAAATACTATAAATACTTAAGAACTGCACATTGTTCCTTCAAACTGTCCATTTTTTTAACTCCAGAAATCTTGAGGGATTTGTGAATGTTTGTCTGCGGTGAGCCCAGCTGCTTCGTGTGAATGCGGGAGATTTAAAGCTTTAACGCTTCGAGGGTTAGCTGGTGTTTGCGTCTAGACTACGGTTGAAGCGAACCCTGCCGTTACTCACAACCAGGTGACTAAGACTCAGTCTGACTCACAACGGCGTAGACAGTCATACACCTGGTGAAGGCCCAGCAGCGTAAACAAGAACTGTTTGCTTTTTAAACTTTCTATTTTAGTCCGATCCATGAAGTCATCACCAGTCACGTAGAATGACCAGGTGAGCGAGGAGTCGGGTTTTTAAACAGAAAACATTCCACTTTTTAACTCTTTATTTGAGAACTGGCCTATTGGGAGCACAGTGTGTGTTTCAGGGTGAAACCGACATCTGACAACAAGTTTGCTCTTGTCTGAAATAGAAATATGTGAAACTAGTTCAACGTAATTCAAACAGATGAAGACAGTGTCCTTCCTTTAAGGTCCAAAGTCTGCTGTGCTGGCATGACTTGAAGGGGGAGGACGTCTTTCTCAGGTTATTCTCGTTCACCTGAGTCACTCTCCTCAGAAATGTCGTGGCTGTGACGCCACGGGAGGCGGCCAATCACATCCAGAGCTACTGCAGTCTGACAGAGAGAGAGAGAGACGGAGCACCAAGGAGGAAGTGTCTTTCTGAGGAAGTGTAGGGGAATTACAGAGTGTGGTCACGCCACCAGGACTCAGCAAAATTCGGGAGTATTTCCTGGATATTAAAATCATCCAAAGTTTTAGCAGCTAAGAGTTAGAGAAAGAACATAAAGCGAAACAGAGCCAAGTAACATCCCTGCAGCACTCCTTATTAAATTGTTACTTCACAATGATCAGATGTTTTCAGTGTTGACACATCCGGTCTGTGGACAGGTCAGTTTAGCGCATGGATGCCCTTACAACACTGTCATACTGTATAAGCTGAAAACTAAACTAGAAAACTAATGTTGTGAGATGTTATTTTTTTGTTTGTTTGTTTTTTTGCCAAAGTAAAAAACAAAATCAGTTAAAATTTTTTTTTTCTTCATTTTGAAACAGCAACAAAAATATGTTTTTTTTTATACATAGATGGCGTAAAAATCAGTATCTTCATGTTTTGGTTTGGTTCTGGTTAAGTCAGGTTTATGTGTGTTGGACATTTTAGCAACAAGGATGCAGATCAAAATGTTTTACAGAATTATAAAAAAAAAAAAATCATACAGACACCAATGGTGAAAGGAGCAATAAACATTTCACCTTGTTAAAAGCCTTCATCGAAATCATTATGCTCATTAAATATATTGATAGATGTGTTAATACTAATGAAAGGCAACTAAAGACAGGTGGGTTTGTAGCTCTGATTTAAATGAAATCACTCGCTCTATTTCCATTGACCATATAATGCAGCAAACTGGAATTCTGAAAATAAATGATGGAAACATGACAATTTAAAAAAAAAAAAGCCCTCATGTTTTTTGCTAATTTTTTTTCTTTTGCATGATGTGATTTGTCGGCTGTTTGTGAATTTGTGTATTTCACTAAACCGCAGTGGGAACACTCGCCACACGAGTCACGTGATCAACAACCGGATGTTACTACTGATGAAACGACAAAGAAGACGACAGGACGCGTGGCTTGATTTTAATGAGCAAACTTATTTGCGTGTGATTTTTATTTTGTTTCGTAGTTAATGGAAACGCCGTAATTGTGTTTTTTCAACATTTCGGAATATTGACAAATCTTCACATACGTTTGTAATGGAAACACACTTAGTGTTTTTCTGTTTTCTGAAAGTTTGTTCCAGATTTGTTGTGCGGACGCCGCTTCTCCATGTTTGGTTCTGGTTCTGTGGAAGCAGAGCAGAACCAGAAGACCTCTGTGCTGTGGTCTGGAAGATTGATACAACAGCAGAACCGTCACAGAACCTGATACAGAAGCCACGCCGGGGAGAATCAGCTGTGAACGTAGAGATTGTGTTGAGAAATGATGTGGATGTTTCTGAAACTGATCCTCTCTGAGATATTATATTTTTAAAACAATGTGATGGAGATATTTGTTTTTTTAAATATGTAGGAAAGCATCTGATGGCTACGGTAGATTATGGTGTTGGAACTGGGTCTTGTCTAGAAAGGCTGTAGGAACCTGATTAGTCTGCATAACACTCTGAAATCTATAGAATACCTGGAGAAAAAAGACATCTTGTAAATCGGTTCAACCAATAATAAGGTGGATTCACACTGCTCACTTTAGTTCGCTTCAATCAAACTCTCGTCCGTTTGCCGAGAAAGTGCCGGTTTGTTTGGCGAGGTGTGAACACGCAATCGAACTCTGATGTGGACCAAAACAGCAAACTCTGGTCGGCCTAAAAACTTAAATAAATATGATTCATCTCTGTGGGAGGAATGGGAGGCACAGAGGAAGTCAGTTCATTCTTTGGAACCAAGTGAACCGAGTTCTGCAGTCAGAGGAGGGTCCATGATGCTGTGGGCTTGCTTTACCACATTTTGGGGAAAAAATAAAGACAGACACAGTAAACAGCTTCACCAATTCAAAGTCTGCATTTGTTTTAAGATCCAGATTCTGATTTTCATAAGCAGGAAATTCACGCATCAGCAGCACAAGACAGGTTGATAATGACAAGTCAGACTGCCTTAAGCTCTCCAGTGAGTTTTGACCGAAATCCAGGAACCAGTCTGGGGCAGGGCAGTGTGTGTGTGTGTGTGTGTGTGTGTGTGTGTGTGTGGTGTGTGTGTGTGTGTGTGTGTGTGTGTGTGTGTGTGTGTGTGTGTGTGTGTGTGTGTGTGTGTGTGTGTGTTGGAGAAATTGTGATATAATTAATCAAATATTTGTTATTGTCATTGATCTTTATAATGTATCTTTATTTTATACTTTCCTTTAAGTTAATCTCATTATAGAATTAAGAATGTTTCTTGTATTGTTGATTTGCTCTGATTCCTTTCTCAGAAGGTCTCACTGATGGAAAGCAGAGATAGTGTTTTCCTGAAAGGTTATCTTTTGGTGAAGAGTTTTGGTTCGCTGAGTTGCTGGAATGCTATAAAACTGTCACTGTGAAGAATCACAGTATATTCTGCTAGACTTTGTGTCAGGAACGAGATTATCTAGTCCAGGATAATTTGTGTATTAGTTAGTAAATGACAACTGGCGCTGTAGCTATGATGAATTGTTTTCCCCTCCCTTTGGAGCTGCAGCGTCCTTGTGATTAGGGATCCTGAAACAATAAAAGTGAGGTGCGGACAAATGTGCTTCAGAGCGGTAGGAGATTGTGACTGAAGCACATCTCTGTCCGTTCTCCTCGCGAGTAGCAAGAATACCGACTCCGTTTGTCTTTTCTGTCTTTATTAAGTATGTTCAACAGGTGTTAACCCTAACAGTGTGTGTGTGTGTATATGTGTTCCTCTGTCCCTGGGCTTCAGTTTAAGTTTGTCTGAAGCTGTCTGTGTCCTCGACGGGGCCCCTGAGAGGCTGAGGCCTGTCCAGGCTCATCATCAGCGTGGGCTCTCGGCTCATTGGTTCAGGGTTGTGCCAGTCCTCCACCTCCACGGGTTTGTTGGTGTCCTGTTGCGGCGCTCCGATCAGACAGAACTCCTCTTTGTCCTGCTGCTCCAGATGCCTCAGGATGGTTTTGGACAGGAAGTGAGGGTCATCCTCGTGCTCGTCTACAAGAGGAAAAGGAATGCTTCATACACCAACACATTATGACACCTTGTTCAAGCATTCTGCATGTTGAGACTTATTCGACAGACTTTTGCTTCAATGTTGTGGATGTTGGGACAATTCAGAGACCCGTTTAACCCTCCTCTTGTCTTCGGGTCATTTTGACCCGAAGACAAGAGGAGGTTGTTCTTATTTTTTTCGTCAAGTTCACATTTGAATTGCTGCAGCAGAAAATTCCATCTGAGTTGTGAACACTGTAGGTCTGATTCAGGACTGTTAGATTTCAAGTTTCTGTATGCAGTTGCAATTAAAAAAATGTTTTATAAGGGCTTGTCCTCGGGTCATGTCAACCCGAGGGCAACAGGAGGGGGGGAAATTTGAAAAGATATCAGTTTTACGGAGATCAGTGATGCCATTCCATACTGTTTGCCTGTCCAGCTGTGATTTCCTTAGTCTTCCGGTCAGTCTGACCTGAGGCCTGGGTTTGGTTATTTTTATTTCTTTTGTAAAGTTCACATTTGGATTGCTTGAGCCTAAACGTCCCCCTGAGTTGTGCACACCATAGTTCTGATGCAGGACTGTTAGATTAAAGTTTCTGTATGCAGCTGCAATTGAAAAACATATTTTTTAAGGGCTTGTCCTCGGTCGACATAAGCCGAGGACAACAGGAGGGTTAATACTAATCTTGATCAACTTGACTAAAACCAACGGAAAATGTAGAGAAAAGCTGATAGTTACACATAACCACTTGCGCAGGAATGTGAAACTACTTTTTTGATGATCAGCGGCTTGACGATTGAACAAGCAGTTTTGAGACATTCAGTTTCGTTGTGAGAAACTAGAGAAAAAAACTGTAGAGCCGGTTTGGTACCTTTGATCAGGATGAGTCTATAGCGGTTGCGGCACTCCAGAGACCGGTCCAGGATGTCCCGCAGGGTCCGGTAGAACAGAAGGACCTGCTGCCTGCGCTCAGGCTCCCCAAAACCTGCGTTTCTCTCCTGGGACATGCGGTACAGAGTCAGCAGGGGGGTCGCATACTCCACAGCGCAGTCATGGGCCTGGTGGCACACAGACCAAAAGCAGGGTTTTAATTATATCACAGCACAATGTTAATAATATACATTATTTTTCTTAAATGTTACTACAAGTAACACTCATTTTGTGGTATAATGAATGTTATTATTCTTTCAGGTCGATGACACTGTTATGGTGCCTCAAGTTCCTTGTGGGTGAATTTTCATGTTTGACCACAAGGTGGCGGTAATGCAGGGGAAAAATAAGCTGCCAGAAGAGTCTCAGTGCCACTATTTTTGATTTTGAAGGCATATATTGTCATCATTGCTTCAATTTGCAAATAGGAATAACTTTGATTGTAACTGGGCCAAAACAGGAGAAGCTTGGTCTGATTTCACTTTATACAATAAGACAAAAAAAAAGAAACATACGTTTTTTTTTTTTATTCCATGTAATCGTTGACGATGAAATCCTTGTCATGTTCTGTGAAACTTTTAAGCTTCAGGAAGAACGACAAAAGAAAAACAAATACAATATTTGCTTATTTTTTATTATACTAGCTCATAATATTATACTATATTTCTTAAATGACACACTCTCTTTTACTTACGGTTTAATTTAGCCTATGTTGATAGTCAATTATCAGAGCACAAAGGCTAAAAAACAACTACTTTTAGTTTTGTTAGACTTTCTTATGTCTTAGTTTTTAAAATAAAAATGAAATTATCAGCTGGTCAAAGCTTCACACTAAAACTCTGGAAACCAGCCACATAATTCTGACTGATAAATCTGTGAATTTGATGTTTAAATTCTAATGTTTTCATTTGCTTTAAAGAAATGGTTGCTTTTCTATTCAGACAAAACCCTCAAATTAAGAGTATTTGTCAAATATCCAACTGGCTCTAGAAAACCTGTTGAAGTGAATAAAGTTCACATCACAAATGGCACCGTGTTGGAAAAGGTGCCATTTGTTAAGCACAGCACAAACACTTTTCCGACTCAGAACACCTGAGAAGTGTGTTTCTTTGCGTTCGCCTACCTTCCCGCGCTCGTCCTTCACTCTGTAGACGCTGTGCTTGTAGACGCGACCCCTGACCCCGGCCCTGTCCAGCTCGGTGTTCGGGAGGCTCTTGTAGAACTCAATGTGGCTGTCTTCGTCCTCCAGCTTGTGCGAGATGTTGGCGTTAAGTGGAATGAGGATGAGGAGCTTCTGGGAGCCGGGACCCCACAAGCTGTCTCGATGAGAGCCGCGAAATGAATCGATGGACGTCTTCAAACCTGCACGGATCCGTACAGACTCTCTGAGGGCTGGCCCGGTACAAGTATTTATAGAACCCCACTGAACTGTTGTGGTACCGCCCCAAAACATCACTGTTTTATTCAAGTTCTAGAAAACCTGTTGGAGTGAATAAAAACATTAACCACATACAGCTTCAACTGCAGTGAGAGATATTTCTACAACATTGTGCCTTTGCCCGTCAGTTTCGTATCACATCCTGGTAATATGCTGTAATAATGTTCACTTTGCTGACATCTAGTGGCAGAAGTAGGTTCTGCATTCAAGAGTCTGCCATTATTAGATAGAAAGCATGGTTTTCTCTCAGCAACACTCCAACCTCTTCAAGTAAGAGATGATATTTGAAAGCATTGTTGGTATGCAACCAAAATTTGCTATTAATATTTCTGTTTAATAAATTCAGCTAATTAGGAGGCAGTATTTATTTGACAGAAACTTTTACAATTTTGAGTTACAATATTTTCTCCAGAGCACATTGTAGATTTAAGTGCTGCATTAATGGAAGTTTATATGTTCACTTCTCAGTTTTACCCTAATTCAATTGGCATTATAGTAGAACCCAGCTGGTGTGGTCATTTTGGAGAGGAGTTTATCTCAACGTCGACTCCAACAAGGCAATGAAGGATGACAGACATATTGACTCAACAGGTTAAAAACAAATGCGTACCACAATTCCCAAATTATTTCTTTAGAGTATTTGGAAAATGATGAACCCTTCTATTTCTGATCCATAAATATTCGCTGCTATGAAGTTAAATCCAAATAGGAGACTCTGACGTTTGTGGTTGTAACATGAAAAGTATCCTAGCATGTATTTGTGCTCCACTACTGACTTGGGAGCACCAGCTGCAGGTAGCCGAGGTAGAAGGACCAGGCCAGGCCGTGCGCCACGTTCAGCTTCCTCTCCTCGCAGATGTCCGACACCTCCACCTCCCACGGACCCTGCAGAGCCACACACACGGACCTCGGCTCAGGAGACGGCCGAGTCCTTCCAAAATATTCAGAGTAAACTAAAAAGGCCATTTGAGGACCTGCTTTTCTGAGTAGCAAGAAAGTTGTTTTTATAATCAGCTAGCAAGCAAAGACAGGCAGAGCCCTATCTTGGTGAAGCGTTGAGCCAACCATTGTTTGCCTGGAGCAAATCTCTTGTGTGTGGAGTCTGTATCTCACCAGGACTCCCAGGCATTTGAGGAGCGCGTAAAGCACAGGAACCAGAACAACGAGCTCCCAGCTTTGGCCTCGCGGCGTCAGGGAGTCCCTGGTGAGGTGCAGCAGGAGGGCGGCCAGTGCTGCCGCCAGCAGACTCTTGAGTCCCAATCCACAGGCAGGCAGGATGTGGCCGAGCAGCGACCGACCTCGGTGCCTGACAAACGTCAAGAAGGAAAGCAGGAAGAACAAAGTCACAGGTCCAAACAGAAACATGTACAATGGTAGCACAATTTAAATCCTCCACAGGTCCATTTGGGGACGGATGGGACCAATACTAACTTTTCTACTTGTCAAATGTTACATCACAGCAAACTAACATCACTCTGAAAACTGGGGGAAAAAATTGTTAGAGGTCACAAAAGACTTGATACCAAGACTTTTATCAAGCTTTCTATTTTCTGGACTCATTGCTTAATAGCAATGCAATGAGGCTGGTTTGGTTTCTCTATGATCCAACCTCAAAGTACAAGTAATATTGAAATATCTAAAGTGTCTCATGACTGACATGAAGTCTTTGACAAAACGCCAAACCGAGCTGAAAGTTAGTGCAGTCATCAAGGCGCTAACCTCGTGTTTGAATGGTGCAGCAGCTCCTCAAACAGCAGATAGAGTCCATGCAGCAAGGGCCCAAGAGCCACGATGAGTGTTGCAAAAGCTACCAGGTTAATTAGCCCACCAGGAGACAGAAGCAGGATTCCCCCGGTTGCTATGGCAGCCACCGATGCGGCGCAGACTTTTGGTGAATGTCCACGAGGTGACGGGATGAGAGCATCCTCATCTCGAAGGCAATGCATCTGTCCGAAGATTTAAAAAAAAAAAAGTCTGTGAGCTCAGTGAGGTACGCAAAAAAAAGAAAAAACGCAGAACTTATCAAGTATTTTTGTCTAGTTTTTTTTAGTGCAAATGTCAAACCAGCTAGATTAACTTGTCTTGAATATAAGGGACTAGTTTCACTGGCAGATTTTTATTTCTGCCGGTGAAACTAGTACTTTTATGTGTACTGATGAAAAATACTCTCCTGTCGGGGCAGTATTATGTTTTCCAGGCACATTGTGCCACTTTACTGAACCATCAGACAATTTTAACTTCAGTTGTTATAAAACCAGAAGCTTGATAACTGCAGGAGCTTTGTCGTTGTAGGCGGGGCTAGGTCCACCCCGCTGTTTTGCATAACTGAATGGTTGTCATGAGAGATCAAAGTAAAAAGGCAAAACTCCAGGTTTGTTTTGCTTTGCATTTCACATCACACTGCCCGTTTAAAACAACCTTTTACATCTTTCTAAAAAGTCACTTGTTAGTTTTGTCCTATTTCACGACATTTAAAAGACTAAATAAACTAGACAAAAATACTTGGTTAAGAGTTTTTTTTTAGTAGTGTGCTCTGTGTGATGAAGGAAATTGTTTTAAATTTTGCGTTTTCATAATCTGACATCTGGTCAAGACACCACAGTTTGCATCTTTCCTTGGAAGGACGGTGGTTTCTCAGCCACGAGAGGAAGACTGTGACTTCCTCTCTGGTTCACTGCACCACTTGAGGTCCAGTGCAGCTTGCAAATGAAACGTGGTGTGAAGAGGTTTTATTCGTATTAAATTATGTTCCTTTATGTGTCATATAAATGTAATGTTTTTTGAATCATAGTCAAGGTGTTTTTCTGTGCAGCTGGAAAAGGTGTACAAACTAATGAACCAAGATGTGTCTACTGAAGTAAGTTTCCAGGGTTGCTGAACTTCCCCAGACAGTTATTTGGGAACTCGCTGTTTTTCCCGTGGCCTTCCCTGCATGGAGATAAAGTGTTTAGTTTTCACCTCCCATAGACATTACAGTGAATGACTATACAAGGTTTTGTATGTTTTTCTTTGTTTCTTTTGTTTGGTCTTCGAAGATTGAATCTCCGCCTCGGAAGTAAAGAGAGATGAATAAAGTAACTATGCAACTCTGGGTTCCTCAGAGCGGATCCTAATTTGTGCCTAATGCAGTGTATTTCTTGCTCTCCGTCTGCAGATGTATTAAAGATTGTTTTTGCTCCCTGACTTTTGTCTGGACCTCAGTCTCTGAATTGTGCACTTCACAGTGGCGAGGCGAGCTGTGAAACTGAAAGCTTATTATGTTTGCAAATCAAACATTTGCCTCATGTGCTTCTGATTTCAATGTCTAAGTTTAAGTTTTCAGCCTGTTGCTCTTTGAGAATCAACCTTGGCCTCACCTTTAATTCACACTAAAAAACACATGTTAAAACCAGAGGAAGAGAAATGAATGAATGCAGGGACTCACCTTGGTGTCTCTGGTGTCTCTGAGTAAAAGACTGGACTGACTTCTGTACTGAATGGAGGTTCTGCCTGTCTGAGTCCGCCTCCTATAGCCACTTTCAGTTTCAAGTTTTTCTAAGTGTAACCGGATCCGATCTGCATTGTGCTGGTTTTAAATGATCAGGCCGTGGAACGCCTTTAAAAGGATGATTCCTTGAATAATTCTGACAAGAAGAACTATTAGAAAAGAACCGTGTCACAGGCTGCCTGCTCCAAGTCCTACATGAACAAAAGTACATAACAGAAATTAACTTTATAAATAAACTGGATGTATTTAGATACAAAATCGATAGTACACACTCTCCCACAGGACAACATGACAAAAGGGGAGGGTGCAAGGGAGGAAAACATTTTAAAGACAACAAAAGGGGAATGGCTTCCGTTCTGAAAGTAACACAGTTAAAACAGTAAGAGATTTTCAGTAGGGTAGAAACCCATACAAATAACAAAAAAAAGACATTTTGTGTAATTATAACAGAAGAGAAATTCAACCAGGTTATATAAGCATCTTCATTTGTTTCTGTTAAATAAGTGGGCCGGCCCAGGTTGGTTTATAGTTATGATCGTAATCAGCCTGAGTCATGGTAAGGAATGGAGACCATAAGATTTAAACCACCATAAACCTTACGGTGGTTTAAAGATTACAAGCATATATTTCACACTGGTGTCATAAAGTTTTGTGTTTTTCATTGTAGTTTAGCATGATTTCATTCAGTTGGTTTTAAATTAGCTTTTAAAGTGTGTTTGTTAGTTATTAGTGTAACAGTAACTGAAATTAGTTGTACATTTAGGAGCGTTTGTTTTTCTTACGCTGTTCTCTTTTACTTCCGTTTGAGTCATTTTGTGACTGGTTGTTTTTTTCCCCCCAGTCTTCAACCGACCTGTGCATGTTGATGCTTCCCGGACAGAGACTGTGAGCTTGGAAGCTGCTTTCTCAAACAAGTCCACCTTGTGAAAGTTGCGTTTCTTCCTTTCCATTGAGTTTCATTTTGATGCCCGTGGCTTTCTTGGGAAGTGTGTGGGCGTGGAGCTCACCTGTTTCTTGTTCTGTCCAAGTGCTGCAGGGCTTTTTCCCCAGCTGCTGATTTCTGACTAATGACACACACCGACCTGGAAGTCTCAGTCTGCTTGAGTCACCTCTGAAAATCTGCTGTCAATTTAATTTGATCCTTCTTTAACACTGAGGTGTCAAAGGTCTGGCTTGAGGGCCAGTTTTGTGGCCCCTGATCACAAACAGGCTGTTTCCATTATAGAATTGCACAAGATTTTGTTGATATTCAGTCATTGTCGAAAAACCAGAACGTTTTGGCATAAATGGAAGTCAGTACATAGTCTTTTTGTACTCAACGAAAAATAAAGACTCATAATCCAACCAAAGGTTCATGCATATTTTATTCAAGAGTAAAAAAGTGGATCGTCCCATGGGCCATGCTTACAGTGTTGGTGACTGGGGAGTCAGCGCAAAAGAACAAAACAAAAGAAAACAAAAAACACAAATTTTACAAAGAAACAAATGAGATTAACACAAAAGTAACAAAAAGAAATAAGAGACAAATAAAAGAAATGTCAAAGAATTTAAGAAATAAACCAAAGAAACAAAGAAAATGAACAAAAGGAGCCTCAAATAAATTAATAAACAAAAAGAAATGTCCAAGAAACTCAAGAGAAAAAACAAAGAGAGAAAGATAAAAGAAAACAGAAACGAGAAAAAAAAAATATGAAAAGATAGAAAACGATTCAGAACCGTGGCACAATTTCTATGGCACAGGGTGTCCCAGGGGTTCACCTCACCCAAAGAAGCACAAGATCAACCAAGGAGCAACGCAACAAGAAGAGTAACCAGCAGAGAGAGAGAGAGATAGAGCTTACATATTAAGAATATTCTCCATAATAAATAGAACCATAATAATCATAGAATCATAAATATCATCAAATAACAAGAGGAATCATCGATGATGAACGAGAGTACACGGTTTTCCCGTTAAATCGTGACACGCCGTTGAAACGTGTCCGCTGCTGCTTTTTGCTTTTCCAACGGTGCAAATTTTAACCATGCAATCATGCTTTCGGCTGCCTGAATGCCTGTGCCTCGGTATATAGGACGGTCATTCGTCGATGCTAGTTTAATATTCGTTATTCATGTTTAATCGTTAAAAACGACGCCTGTACAATGGCGAAGAAAACAGAGAAGCGAAACGTGGACTCGACACTCTGGATAAGAATCGTACCGTCGTTCTGTACAAGCGTCCAAACCGACCGAAGAACACGCCTTGTGAAAAAGAAAAACACAAAAAATGATAGAAAAAATAAACTGAATCAACAATATGTACAAAATAAATGACTCGTTATACCTCTGTTTGCTTATATTAGCCAGAAAAAAACAGAAGAAAAAAAAAAACGTCCTACCATAGCGAAAAAACACACAGCACAAATATAATCTTCACATTATTATCAAAGAACTTAACTTTTGCATGCACTGATGCGTTAATATAAATGCTTTACAAAGACCTTAATCCTCTTGGCTTCTTCTCGCTGCTTCGCCTTCCTTCGCCAGAAGAGTCCGTTTCCTCTGAACGATCGCTTCCCGCTTCTAAGTCCGGCGACCAGACGGGAAGAAAGGAGGACGCAGAAGAGGACGAAGAGCTTCACATTTTAACCCCTCCCTCACACACACACACACACACATATAAAGCATTCTTCTTCTATACTACGCATTGCACCCTGTGATAAAACCTCTATGTATTTACATGCAACAGATAGGGAGGGGGACGCGGTGGGGGCTGGTCTTCAAGAGTCGACTTGGACCTGGACCAGAGGTCTGGACGGAGCGCTTTGGGTGGGGAAATCCTCCACCCGACTCTGTAAGTGGACAGTGAATATGGTGCAGAGCTACAAAAGCAAACAGAAGAAGAAGAGAAGCGAGGGCTCAGATTGGACTGCGGCTGAGGTCACCTCGCCGCGCGTCGACTCTCTCGAATGAACTCCTACGGAGTTAAAGCGTGTGTGTGTGTGTGTGTGCGTAAAAAAAATCCCCAAAAGAAAATTGAATGTTTGATATAGTTTTCCAGCCCTAGTCCCTCCGCACCCTCCCACCAACAGCTGGATCCACACCCACCCTCCCCCAAACGTCACACACACACACACCGACTGACGCAGGCACAACACCGTCACACACCAGCACCCCCGGCGGTTCCCCACAAACACACGGCAAACGGTAGCAGCTCTCCTCAGAGTCCTGGTCTGCTCTCGGAGATCGTCTCCTCTGGTTGTGCAGGTTCAGGGGTCAGGAGTCAGGATCAGGCTTAGTTCTGAAGAACCGGGCTCAGAAAAGACCCTCCGCCTCTCTGCGGTAAAGTCTGGCTAAATAACAGCTGAGGGCAACAAAGGGAGGGGGTATTTAATCTTGTGTGTGTTTGTGTGTGTGTGTGGTGTAATGAGTGTGTGTGTGTGTGTTTCTGCTCTTTTATGTGCCTATGTACACGACTGGGTAAATATGGTTTCACTGTACAGACTGCAGGCAGGTGGGAGTGGGCTTGTTTTTCTGTTTTTCGGTCGATCACTGGATATTGCTGTTGTTGTCGGTGCCGTTGGGCTCGCCCATGTTCATGCGGCCCATCGACAGCCCCACGCTGTTGACGGCGTCGCGCCGAGGCGGCATCCTCTCGTTGATCCGGTCCAGGCCTTTGGCCTCCTCGAAGCTGCTGATCCGGTGCTGCGGAGAGAAGCCTCGGATGGCTGCGGACACACACGTGCGCAGAGTTAATGTTTGGAAAAACACGGTGGAGGCGTGTGTATCCAAACCCTTTGGGACTCTGAAAAAATTGAAACTGAGACGTAAATGCTTATGCGAGTTTAATATTCACATGGAGGGGTAGGCGATATGTCAACATATTCTGTGTTGCTGTTGTAACGATAAAAGTAACAATGAGAACTATTTACTTCTTGAGGGAACTATGGATGAGACATGTTGGCTAGCATATTAGCTTAATTATGCTAGTTTATAGGAGGCCTTAATTTGGTTTGCTTTTGACTCACGCTTAAATCAACGTACAGTAGAGTCTTTTAAACTAGATGCAATTGTCACAATTTAAACTAAAATCGGTCACGTATGTTTGAATGCTGTGACCGTAGGGGCGTTTACCAACTTTACCTTTAAAGTTGAGCAAATTTGAATTATGAAAATCAATATTTAATGGAAACATGCTAATTTTGAAAAAAACTCACCATCTGTGAAACGTTTTTACGTTACAATGTCTTTTTTAAACATTGCGAACAGTTTTGAGGGATTTTAAAACATCATTAATTGGAATTTGTCATACTGATAGATCAATATTTGTCATCGCAATGATTGACAAACCATACGATATCTTCCTGCTTCTGGGTTTGGATAAACAACGCTCTGCCACTTTACACCGATCTGGGCTCACACAGGGGGAGTCGGCTTATCTGCCGTCTGAACGCAGAGCTGGGATCGTTCTGACCCAGACTGACCAGGGGCGTAAACCAGAGATTGATCCTGGATCAGGAGTCTGAGACGCCCGGCGGATTAAACATCCTCACCCAAAGACGCACAGCTGCACAGAAACTATGTCCTTAAAACACTTTGAATTTTAGACAGTCGGGCGTTTGTTCAAAAGATTTGTTTGGGTTTCTTTTCTTTCCATTTGGGGAAATTTACTTAAACATCTTTTTCTAGTGATGTTGCAATACACAATGCAGCAGTGATTCAGTTAATCAACCCTGTTTATTTTTGATCGAACACATTGATTTTTATGGCAGTGAACAGTTCTTGGACGTCTCCATGGTTTCTCTTAAAGGAGCCTCCCGCTAAAACGATGTGCTGCTGGGTTTCCGCTTCAGCTTTCACAACCACAGCCGTAAACATGTTGAACAGAAAGTTTAGGTGAAATACCAAAACTCAAAAAAGCAAAGTGAAAAAGAGGTTTTTAAACAACTTCAGAAACCAAAACGAGAACATGGGGAATGCACTTTCCTTAACTCTCAATGAAAACTAGTTCCACCAAATGCAAACTGTGCATCTTTCGGTAGCATTTTCCTTCTGCTTCCCATTAACAGAGCAGGAAATCCCCATAAAATACACTAAGGTTTCTTGTAAGGGCAGAAATAATCATTTTTAAAAATGTTTTCTGGGGGGGTTGAATACTTTTCCAGAGCTCAGACTGTGTTTTACAACTAGATAAAGCTCCGTAACGGGCTCACTGTGTGCAGACCACAAACTGTGATGTCGACAGAAAGTATTATATGTCACACTGAGTCACAGGACGGCGCTGAGGCACTGAAACAGAAAGTCACTGGTATTTTTCTTCCCCTTCGAATCGTAAAGTGAACACATCAAAAATGTTCTTAGTTAATTCTGTAGCAGTGACGTTTCCCCACACATAATGTGGTTTCACTGTGCTAATGAGTGGGGAAATAAATAAATCTCACCTAAGACGAAACACTGAGTCAATCAAGAACGAATCAAAATGCACTTTGATTGTTATTTTATTAAGAAATTAAGCAAAGGAAATGAGCAATGGCTCCCTACTGCAGGGAAGTGAAGAAAAGATGAAAGCGCAACGCTTTTAATATCCACCATCCGTCTACAAAGACACCAGAGAGAGAGAGAGAGAGAGACTGTGTTTCTCAGCAGTTTCAGATTGTTTCACCACTCTTGGATTTGCACCTGCAGACTGTGAGCCTGGACAGTCCAGACCAAGTAGAGAGAGGAAAACAACCTCCCAGAAACTCACAATCATCTGCCCAGTAATGAAGCCAAAATGGTATTTGTGTCAGAACATTATCAGCTTGTTCTCGTACACACAGCTAAACACTCTGAAAGCGTGAAAATCGTGTAAGAATAATAATTTGGAGGAGCGTCTTGCATCTCTTTTGAACAAAGGCGACTGTCGAAATACTCCACAACACGCTCTGCAACATAAGCTGCGGATACATAAGTACATAAAAGCATAAGGGATTTCCATAATTTATTCAGACAAACAAATTATGGCCTGTACTTCAGGTAAGCTAAAGACAGCACTACACACAGAGCGGTATGGCTAACTGGGACATGCAGACGGATCACCAAGCACTTCACTCAGCACAGAAGCCAGTAGCACAAACAAACACCTCGGACCTTTTTCCCGAAGCTTCGCTTCGAAACGACTTTCTGTCTAAAACTAAAGAGATGTGAGGATTTTAACCAGAGAGGAATATTCGCCCCTTTACAGATTTCTTCATTTTCTGTCTTTCAGTCACAGTGTCTGAGATTGTCCAAAACATTTTGATTTCAGAAAAAGATGAGCTCAGTGAACTCTGAATTCAAATAATTATTATATATGTACAGAGGAAAAGCTATCCAAACTAGCCTGACTTCCTTGATTTTCACATTTCTAATTATTTTTCTTTCCTTTTTTTGTATATTATAAATACTTCGAAAGGTGCAAAAAACAACAGCAAACAATTCGACTCCTTTTTAACTGAGAAAATAAAAAGTGTGTCGCTTACAATGCGATAACTTTATGATCCTTCAGTGTTTATCTTGATCATTGGCAGAACATCTGCAGCTAAAAGGTCCTTCCAACATCAACATGCTAAAAGCTCAGCGCTTTGTCATCAACACATAGTATGGCTGATCTGTTGATTATTGGTAGAAGATTTTTACAGAATTTGAACATTTTGCATTTTAATGTTGAATGTGTATGAATAGTAAGCTCTGAGAATGTTTTTCTTCCAACAAATGGCCTTTATTTTTAGTCTGTTAACTTCAGCTGATGATCAATCGATTGCCAGATCAGTTGACAATAATTTCAGTAATCAATTAACCACAACCAACACAATTAGTCGTTTCAGCCCTTCGTAATCTGAAACATGTAAGTGTGAGCAAAGAAAGAAGAACTGTCTGAGGGCAGGAAAACTTTCACAGAACTGCAGTTGTAGCAGAAATTTTCAAAAGCAGCTAAAAGCGTTTTTTTTGTTTTTTTTGTTTTCTGAAATAAATTTTCCTTGAGCAAAGAAAAGTCCTATGCAGAGCCGTAGAGGTCTATAACTTGTTCCTTTCTGCACATTGGTCGTCATGTGACCAGCTGCTGAGAAGCTGGGATTCAACCTTGTAAAGTTGGCTAACCTTCCTCCTACAATCCTACTTATCTTTCTATTACGATCACAAGTAACTCGTGTTCTGCTTGTAAGAAGACAGATTTATTGCATGCAGACCTAAACAATCCCTTAAACGTCAGGAAAAGACAGACACAGTGAGACATCAGCGTAACCGTGACCACAGCCCCACTCTTCCTCTGTCTTATGGAAACGTGTCTTGTGTTGAGAGCTGCGTCTGAAGACGACGTGAAGATGTGTTTGTGTGTTTAGTGGAGGCGATGCGGCGGTCCCGGGGGAAGGGAAAACGCCCGCGCGTTTGCGTGGCGGCCGCAGCGTGAAGCGCTTTAGTTTTGAGAGGCGATGTGGTTAAAAGAGCTGGGTGCATTGTGGGTAAAGGAGATCTATGACCTCACAGGAAATGGCGGCTGAGCGCGCACAGTGAAATGAGAGTGATTTTACCTTCGGCGTCCTTAACTGTCTCGATAGCTTCAATGGCCTCAATGGTAGCTGAAGGATGGCAAAAGAAGAGAGAGAAGGAACGACAGAAAGAGAAAGAGAGAAGACAGAATCCGGAGGAGAAGATGGCAAACAAAGAAAGAAGGAGGAGAAGGAAAACGAGGTGAAGGCTGAAACATGCTTTTGTGGATTGCAATATTTGCCTCAGGGCACAAAAAGAGTGCAGAAGAGACCACAACTACACTCAAAAAAAAACTTGACTGGGTTTGTTAAATAACTTACTGTGACTGGTGGTAAGCCAATCCGACGCTTACAAAGTCATTTGTTGAATGGATGTAGATATTGTAAGAGATCAAGGTTACAAAAACTATTGGTGTTAGAAACACACCGGGAGGCAGACTGACCAGAGGCTAAAAATGTTCAAATGTCCTATCTTATTCAAGTCAGTGAATGCACCAGCTTACACTGAACCAACAATAACTCTGTTCTGTGGATGAATGAAGCTGAACTCAGCTATTTCCACAATCAGGTGGGTGTTTTTAAAATGACGTCTGATGAAACACTCACGCTGCAAGAGAGCAAGATTTTCAGCAGATAACATTAAGGCTGAACGTATTCCAATAAAGTATATCTTGTCCTTTTGAACTGTCAGTTTCTGTATGCTAAAGAACATAATTCACTTGGAAATATCAATTATTCCTTATACCTGGTTCACACGGCAAAATAAATTATATCAACCTTTCTTCCGAACTCCCCTTCTGAGAATCTTAAAGATGATTTGATTATTGTGATGTATTTAAATATAATTTTCAGAGATATTCCTGCTGTGTGCTGAGACTGATTTGGTCTGCGGGGACAGGCTCATTCTCCGAGGACGAATGAGCCTGTTGACTGTGACGTGTTTCCAATCAGACAGCCAGAAACATGAAGGGGAATCCAGAGTGGCGCAGCAGAAAGTCTGGTGGACACTGGAGTCATGTCTTTATCTGCTGAAAATAGACCCCGAACTATTGCCTTTTCTTCAGTCTGAACTCGAGAAATTTTGCAAGATTTTCCATATGACATCTCAGTGTTCATGAGTAAAATGAACACCGAGTGTGTGGCGTGTTTAATTTAACCAAACCTGTTATGTCTATGACTTTTTTTCAGACTTTTGATCTGGGCGGGTTCTCAGGTTTAGAACATTTGCTGAGCATTTTCAAATCTTGCCGTGTGAACCAGGCATTAGAAACAGGAAAGGACCACCTAGGAACATATGTACTCCTGCTTTAGTAATACTAGCTGTGCTAATCTAGCAATGCTAATAATGCTAACCCCTACTGTAAGATGCCTTTTTATCTTTGTTTTAAATGATAATTGCATTTGTTTCTATCTCACTAATTATCTTTGCCAGAGTTTGGTATAATTTTACAAAGAGTTAAAGGGTAAAGATGGACACTTTCCAACTTTAAACCCTTCGCTGAAATAATAATTTGCAACATGGTTTATTTATTATAAATTAGAATCAAATAGTTATTTGGAAATTTCTTCTTTCTTTTTTTTTTTTAAAGAATTCATCCAACAAATCCTTATTTTTTTGAGTGCGCATCTTTTTAATCAATTCTGTTTTTGTTTGCTTGTTAAAAGTGAACATATTTAGAGCTGCATTAACACTAAGCAGGGAATTCATACACAAGTTAACCTAAAAAGAACAAGCATGTTAAAAATGAATTACAACTGATTACCCAAGTAACAGCCACAGTTCTTAAAGCGACAGCGTCAGAGGCATGTTTCAGGCTTTGAACATTATCATGGCAGCTTCAGCTTCAGAAAGCAGCTGGTGTTAGCAGCAGCTTGAGTTAGCTCTCTCGCCAGCTTTCTGTCTCTCTCACACACACACACACATCCGTGTCGCCGTTTACACTTTCTTTTTCAAATTAACACCGTCCATGTTCTGACTCGCGTCTGCGTCGAGGGGTTATCCACGTTCACGCTCACACACACTCGGCAGGCTGTTTGTTTCCTCGGCGCTGTGAGGTGAGGTGGAGGGAGTGAGTGAGTGAGTCAGTGAGGCGAAAAGATGAGAGCAAAGAAACGGCTGGAGAGGAGGAGAAGAGCAGGGAGCTGGAGGATGAAGCTGGTCAATGTGTTGGGAGGTCGTTTCTTTCCCCTCAACATTTGTCTCTGAAGGTGTGTTTCAGAGTAAAATCTGTGGAGTGGCTTTAAACAATCAGTGCTCAGCAAACGTAGTCTAAGCTCTGGAAGTGTCGGCCACAAACGTGTTCACACCTGAAGAGTTTCACATTTTGTCGCAAGTTTCAACGCGTCTTATTGGGATTTTGTGTGAGAGACCAACAGAAAAATGTGAGTATTTGTGAAGAGGAATGAAAATAACAGCGAATTGGAAGCTACAGTGTGTAACTTTTATTTTTACATATTTGCTAAAACTGTCACTGTGACGTCAGAGAATAATATGAGATAATATGTGAAAAGATTGAGTTCGACTGCCTTCTCCCTTCCGTCTACAGAAAAGCATCGCTCCTGAACAAAAACAACCAATCAGAGCCAGGAGGAGGGTCTTAATGATGAAAATCAACCCAGTGTATGCAGTACTCAATGTACTAAAGGCAGAGAAACAATTTACTGCCACAGGAAGCCCGTCTATCTGCTGATCTCGGTGGCCATGCTAACTAGCCTTAGCTTTCATGGCAAACTCTGCTGACGGGAGGAAGCTGTAGCTTAGCAGAGACTAAAGGAGGGAGGGGAAAAAAGGGAGTGAGTAGCATGTATGCAGGTGTAATTGACAGCACTATCACCCGCCTCCTGGCTCTGATTGGTTGTTTCGAGTGGGAGAAGGCAGAGGAGCTCTCTTTTTTTCACCACATAATGACAGTTTCAACAAATATATGTATACATCTCTTATAAAAGTTGTATACTGCAGCTTTAAGAATAAATAAAATAAAAGTGAGTCAACACTTTGGAGAGGCGGTTACAGCGTCTCTACCAGCTCTGTATCTCTAGCGAGTGATTTTATTTTTTATTTTTTTGCTAAATAACTCAAAGCTGAGTCAGATCACATGGAGGGTGAACCTGCTCAGCATCAGGTCCTTTGCAGCCTCCAATAGGTTTTCCGACAGGGATTTTTGGAAACTCTGAATACTTCTTTCCCTCTTCACAAATTTGCACTATTTTTTGTTGGTCTCTCGGATGAAATCCAAACAAAATGCATTGACGTTTTGTGGCCCTAATGTGACAAAAATATGCAACCCTTCCAGAGGTGTGAGCTCTGTATGTGTGTGTGCATGTCGGGCTGTTTGTTTGTGAAGCACTCACCACTTTGCAGGGTCTGCTTGCCCCCGGACAGGACCCCACTGGGCAGCATGCCGGTGGGAGTCAGTCCCTTCAGGGTCAGAACGTTCTCACTCTCCTCCCTGAAAAGGACGGATGAAAAAAGCAGAAACGGGTTATTGGGAGAGAAATTCGGAGGACTGCACACTTCCTCACACAGCGCACCTGCAAAACCACAGTGACAGAGTTACAAAGGCAGAACTGAAAAATGTGATTTACATATAAAAGTATGTGATGACAGCTGACTTCTGCAAAAGATTAGAAAGGAAAAAGCAGCTGATAGTCATCTGTACACACACACATACAGATAACTGGATTTTGTACAAGCCTGCGACAATAAATCGCAAAGATTTTCTCAACTTTGGGAAATTGCATATCGCCAAATATATGTATATCAGCCCCTGTTCTTCTTAAGCTGTGCCTGAGAGAGAGGCCTGACTGACAGACCCCCTCCACCAGGTAACGTCTGTATGTTCTCGGGTCACTCCAGTGATGCCAGCTTAGCAACTTTGTCGCTAAATTTTCCAGACAAAAAGATGTTTGCCGTCAGCCAAAATCAGAATCAATAGACTATTGTAGGTGTGCGCCCAGACGGGTGCACACCTACATGTTGGTTGACAGAAACTCGACCCACCGTAACACGGAGAACATTTTAGCCATCTTCCCGATGGCCCGGATCTTGTTTTTGATCACCTCTTTCCTCGCTGCAGCTGCACTGGCTGTAAAACCAACAGAGAAATATAGTCTTACGAGACCCAAACAATCGTGTTTGCAGTAAAAAGGTTTATTCTGTCGTCTGTGACGTCTCACCGTCATAAATTTCCTCTCCGTCGTTCATGAGTTCATCGTCTGAGCAGATACTCAAAACGTTGACCAGCATCTCCGTCACTGTCGCAAACAGAGGAACGCGTTTTAATCATTGTTTTTGAGATGTCAAATCAAACAAAACCAAGTTACACGTCAGAAAGAAGGAGCTCCTTCTAGACGTTCAATGCATTGTGAGGTAAATAGTTCTACTCTAATGCGATCCTTGTTTTTTATACACAGCATCATTTGACTGCAGAAAGATTTCAGCAGGATTTTATAAGTTCAGAAACCAAGAGGAGCTTTTTCCTCCTCCGTTTTCCTTACTGCGGCGCCACCATGTGGCCGGACTCGACTCCTGCAGGGTCATTACAGATGGCGGCACAAATGGGTTTTTAAGTAGCTAAATTTGTGACAGTAATACATTTCTAAAAAACAAAACATGTACATTTATAACTGTCTCTGTAACTGGACCCAGAAATTATAGAATAGATTTAAAACTATAAACAATGTTTAGCTTGTTTTCTATAATAAAATTATTATAATTATTGTTTCCCATTCAAACACTGAAAAAATTATCTGTATTGATTATAAATATTGATGTGTGGTTTCAAGGCAGATTTTTGACTTCTTGACGACATAACGTTTCCTTGTTGTCACACTTCATGTCATAATTTAAGACCGACACTTCGATCAGTGAATTATAATCTGATTTGTGCCTTTTCTTCATGGCCTTGGTGGAGGTCAGCTGACTGAAATGAAAACATTTGGGCGATACAACGTAAACGTGTCTGCAGGTAAGATTAATATTGACTTAATATTAATGTTTGATAGGTCAGAGGTCATGCACCGTGTCCATCTGGATGGACTGTTTCTGCCTGGTACCTTTTTCTCCTACGAAAGGCAGCGACCACGTGAAGACATCCATGAAGTTGGGCAGCCAGTAGGGATGTGGAGAGCAGTTGAACTGACGGATGTTCATCACATTGTTCTCATACTTTAACACTGCCGCTACACACACACACACACACACACACACACACACACGCACACACACACACACACACGCACATACAGAGAATTATTACCAAAACTGTAGAAGAGCGGTTAAAACAGCAGAAACTCTGAGTCTGTTTCAAATACATGTATAAAATAAACTTGTAATAACTTGCTAAAGTATTCACACTCTTGGTCTTTTACACGCTGTTTGAACAACAAGCCTTTGTGTATTTTGTGTTTATCCGACAGGCCAGTAGTTATTTTTATCAACAGCTGAATTTATGAAAACCAAGAAAAATTTTTTGGTTTTTGAAGATTTCATTTTGGGAAAAATTGGGATTTCTTTTTTTTGTCGATACGTTTTTTGGCTTTTCGTAAATCAGAGGGAAGTCAGCACACCAAGAGCTGCCATCTTGTCTGAAAAGTGTGTTTTGCAGATTCGCCTGAGTTTGAATTAAGGTCAACTCTACGATGGGGACGAGCCGACGAAAGCCGGGCTACGATTTGTGCCGAAATGACAATAAAAGTTGTAATATTGCGACAATAAAGTCAGAACATTAGGAAAATAAAGTGACAAACCCAACATGGGAACGAGCTAAACATTAAAATGAGAAATATGGAGCATCTTGTGAAGATATGTTTGGTAAATAGTACTTTATAATTAACAGAATCACCTAATCTTTTAACACATCAGCACCAAAATATAATCGGTAGCCGAAGTTTGAAACGATCATGGAAACAGCTGAGTTTATTTAGAAGAAAGGATCACAGACCGAGATGCTCATGTCAGATCTTGATAACTCTACAACTTTTTCTCATTAAAACAACTTTTTCCTGGGAATATTGAGACATTTTTTCTGGTAAAATGTCATCTTTTTCTACTAATATTATGACTCATAATGAAAGAAAAATCCTTGAAGTCTGGCCCATGACACTCCACCGTGCAACTCAGAAGGAGCGACTGAAGTAAAAGTCCCTTTATGAAAATATTTGTAACTTGCAAAGTCTTTTCAGTGCGAGTAATTTTAAGGAGCACAAAACATTTCCACAGTACCGCGCCGGAGCCTCACCTTTGTTGTTGTAGACGTCCAGGTAGTTGGGAGCAGAGAAGATGGTGATGAGGGAGGGGAAGCCCGTCGTCTGACTCTTCCTGTACATGCGATATCTGCGCAGAGAGAGGCAAACAAGTCGCCCACGTTAGCACTACTCAGATGAGACGCTGAGCTGCAGATGGAGACGGAGGGATTGCTTCAGAGGTCTCTGCAACCAGACAGGGACTGGCTCAAAGTAAGACAGGTAGGCAGTAGCAAAAATGAAAAAAAAAAAGAGACAGGTGATGGACTGAGCAAAGACTTCGGTGTTTGCAAAAATAATAAAAAGCATAGACTTTGAATAACGGCAGCGTCTGCATTTGTAGTTATGTATGTCCGTGGAGTTTGTTGGAGCTTATATGGATGTAAAATAAGTTCTTTGTTACTAACTAATCTATGGATGTCAAAAAAAAAATCTAAATATTTAAGTTGCATTACTTTTCATAGATATTAATTTTTTCAAAAAAATGTCATCATTGTGGTGCCAGACCAGCTGACTCTCAGCTACATGTCTGATCATGAACAACACCAGGCAACGTGAAGGATCCCGTTCATGTTAAATCTGTCTTTGTTTTTCTGTTTGCGGTGCAGTTTGAACAAAACGACCCGCTGACATTGTGAGGATTTTGTCACGGCGTCTCCACGTTACTACGGAAACTGCATCCGCTTCCCCAGAAGCAGAACCAAACATGGGGAAGCAGCATTCAGCTGCGATGCGTCACTAGCCCAGAACACACTTCCAGAATACTACAAAAATACCGAGTTTTAAATCAATCAATCAATAAAACTAAAAACCCTTTTGTTTAGAGTCTCTTTGATTAATAACTGGAACATTATTCTACATCTTTGTGTATTTGCTTCACGATTTCGACGATAGCATTTGACAAACTGTAATGTTTATTGCCGGTTTTGTAATTGGCTGATGTATTATGGTTGTATGATGTGAAGCATGTTGAACTGCCTTGTTGCTGAAATGTCCGGCACAAATAAAAGGTTCCTGTGACCCGCAGGAACCTTTGGTTTGACATGTTGAATGTCAAACCAACAGGTTCAATAATTTAGTAATTTGATGGTAACAGACTCACCCGGCGTCCTGAGCTTCGTGCGCTCTGATGATGGACAGCAGGTTGTTGGTCTGTAGGAACTCACACACTGCAGGATAACTGGAGGAAAACATGACAGAATTAGGAAGAAATAAGAAACAAATCCTGAAAGCAGCACTGCGATGGCCGCTATGTGACCAGCAGGGGGCGTCAGTGAGCGCTGGGCTCATGGCTGTGCTGTGCTGCGGGTGCCTGGTTGTTTCACTGCTGCTGTCTCCCCTTAAACGAGCAGGACGTGTCACAACGGCGTCTCGGCCTCGCCGGGGTCGGCTCCGTCTCTCCTGCTCTCCGTCCTGCCGCCACCGTCAGCCGCTCTGCCTCCCTGCCTTCCCTCGCCGTTTCTGAACGTCCCTCCATATCTGGCAGGAGTAGCCGGTCGTCATAGCAACAGAACCGTGCAGTCTCCCCCGGGGACTGTGGGAAATCTTTTCATGCTGAAGCTGAACTGTGTGCGTGCGCTGGCGGAACGTCTCGTTGTGTTTGCTCGCTTGCTCTTCGCGTTGGCCAGATTGTGTTGCCTTTTCTTCGCTTCTCTCTGCTACAAAGCCCTGAAATTACTCAGTGAACCTCGGATGTGATTGAACTCCTCTTTCTGTGTCACGTCCCCAAAATAACGGCCCGAAGTCTACCTGAAACTTATTAGCGTCCTGATTTATGGCAGAGCAGCTCGTCTCACCTGCGCCGCGCGCCCACGAGGCGCCCGGATAATTGAAGCGCACCGAGTTAGGCCAGAGAAAGTCATCCGTCTCTGTTTCGACTGCTCGCCTTAATGACGTTGCTCCCGCAGAGCGGCTTTGTATGCCTGTGTATTGCATTTCCCCAGGCTTGTTTGAACATCAGGTTAGTTTATATCTGTGAGCTTCATAACGCACTGCTCTCTCTCGTTCAAATGGACTGAAGCTGCCAGAGCTCGTAAGGAATATTCAGTTTTATTGGAGGGAGTTCGTGAGCAGCAGAAAAGGGCTGGTGAGAGTATTAAAGGGCCAGTGTCATCTATTTTGCAGGTATATTCTGCCAATCAAGTAACTCTGTTACCATCGGTTGTAGCTCCTACAATGAGCTCAATTGATCCACCAGGGCTTTGCTAATTGAATCTGGCTAGTCTGAAGGAGCAGAGTGAGGGAGTCGTGTAGGTATCATGTTCCGAGGCCCATCCAACCCGACTGATTAAGTTGAGTTATAGGCCGAGCTAATTAGTATGTCACTAAGTCTGCAGTAGGCTATTTGTTACACTGTCAGAGATGCTAACACAACCTTTGTTTTCTAAAATGTCCTATATTTCTAAGAAAAACCTTGTGAGGACCCACCAATTGTAGCCGACACATGGCATTCACAGCTGACTGACAGCGTACAGCAATACGTGGGGGAGAGGGCTCACTACTCCATGCTAGACGCATAGAAGAAAAGCGCCCTTGTCTTTGTTCACTGTTAAAAGAAGGTCGAGTCTGACAGGAAACATTTTCCGAAACCTTTATTTTTGAACGTTGCTTGTGTTGATGTGAGACGTCGCTCTGTGTTTTTGTACCTGTAGAAGTAGGAGCATCCTCTGACCGTGTTGTGGCCAAAGTACTCCTGGGTCTTCTCGTTGCCAAAGTCTTCCAGGGGGTCCGACCAGAGCAAGTCACACATGGGCCCAAACGCTGGAGGCTCCTTGAATCGGTCCAACTGGGACACACACACACACACACACACACGTTAAGTGTACAGACACAAATTCACACCAAGAATGTTCAAATAAAACCTCAGAAACATGAGCTGAAAAATGCTGCTTATGCGCCACAATCCCGTCTTACGGTCGCGTAGCCGCAACCGAGCACATACAGTATGAATCAGAGCGGAACGAGGGCACAAAACACGGCGAACAAAATAAAATAAAATAAACACACACTGTCAAGAGCGGAGCATCTCCATGGCAACCCTCACCGCACAGGAGGGAGAAGATGTCACACCAGCAGATTCACCATGGAAACACTGCCATTAGAGGAGGAAGTGTGTGTTTCTTTGTATGCCGCGGCTTCTGGGAACTGTACATGTTCCTGCTACGGTTTCTCTCCTCGCTCCAGCGCAATCCAATAATTCTTTTATTATTGTTTTTTTTAAGCCATTCATAAAACGTTTCTGCAGGTTTGCGGCTGCCTGCAGGTGTGTTTTCATTGAGCTCATCATGTTCCATTAACCCTGATAGTAGCATCCATGTGGGCTTTGCACCGAGAGCGAACGGAGAGCACCGAGCCATGAAGGGCAGGAAACCTGAGGGCTGTTGGCATGTCGACTCCTCATAGCCAGGTTTCTGACTCCACACTGCCGGCCAGCAGCAGCCGCTCGTCCACATGGACTCAGATTAACGACCGCAGGTCAGCCTGTGTCATTATCTGTTTGAGAATTTAGCTGGAAGATTCAGTTTTACTCATTTTAAAGACACCAGCAATTTATCTGCAGGGCCAACCCAAGGCATAAGCAAACTAAGGAGCCGCTTGGGCCCCACGGCCACTGAGGGCCCCCACAGTGAAGCTGATTTTTAAAATTTTTTTGTAATAATTTCTGTCATTATATCAAAAACACACAATTTCAGTATGAAGTGATTTGTTCTTACAATAACATATATTTGGTCATGTATGTAGAAATTATTTTATTGACAAAAGGAAAACTAATAAATTACTCTTGGGGCCCCCTGGTGGTCGTGGCAGGTACCTCGCCGGTAACATGAGCTGCAATGAGCAGAGAGCGTCCCAACGTCCAAAAAATCTGAAAGTTCATGACAACCAAAGAAGTAGAAAACTAATGACAACATATTAAGTGCGACATGTTTTGGTACTGAAATTGATCAGGTTCGTTTTTTAAGAGTTTGAAGACATTTATATGAAACGTGTACCAATTTTTATGATCAAAATCTGCTGTTTGATGCCGGGGGTCAGAAGAGAGGTCAGGAGAGCTCTATATGGCTCATGAATCAGTTTGAGCCTTAGTCTTTGTATTTCACATTTTTTCCCTCAGGTATTTAATGTTTCCTTTCTGGCTTTGGTATCCGATGACCATATTGAGTTGTTGCTGTGATTTAATTGTGTGGATAAATCTGATTGGTTGTGAATTTGAACAGAGACTGTTGTTTTTGCAGTTTCACTTTTACACACGACATTAACGGACCTGGGGAGAAGAGACAACAGGTAGAAAATATCTTAATTCTCAACGACAGCCACGCGAACGCGCCTGTGTGCGTGTTTGGTTTCCGTCGAACCTTCTTGATGTCGTCCAGTGTGTGGATTTCGGGCGAAAGCCCCCCATGGACACAGAGGAACTGCTGGTTCATCAGCGCCGCCAGGGGAAGGCAGTCAAACGCCTCCATGCAGGAATCGTACACCTGTTCTGAGTACTTGATCTTACCTGGAGGTCAGAGGAGCAGAGAGACATTTCAGCATTCAGAACAAACACACACATGTTCGCACGTTGACAGACAACGCTCCGAACAGCCAACAAGCTAACAAATCCACACCGCTTTTACTCTGACTAAATGGTTGTTTCTGGCAGAAGTCTGTGCAGCTGTTCTCAGTGTTAGTACATTTATGTTCATATAGCTAGCATAGCAGTTAGCTAATGACATATTGTGTTGCAGATTATTTGTACGTCTTAGACCTTTTCAAATGCACAAATACTCTAAGTAGTGTTGCTGTGAAGTGGGATGAATGTAATAGAGAGGCAACAAAAATGATTTGAAAATATGCAGTGCATCTATTTTTCAAATGTTTAGTAAATAGTCTCATTTAACATGCAAAATCAGAACAAAATGGAAGATTTTCACTTCTTTCAATGGCCCAGTCAAAGTCCAGAGCAACATTTAACTGAGAATACAAATACATGCCACATTTCTTTTTTTTGTTTTTACAAACCCTTTAGTTTTGTTCTTTCATTAAAAATTCACACTGTCTGGAGTTGTGATGTAAGCATTTTTGGACTAAGAATACTTTTACAAGGCTGTGTATTTATTCAAACTCGCTACAGAAAAAAAAAATCAATTAACGCTTGAAGCAAGAAAAAACAAACAATACGTCTTTCTAAGAATAGTTTAAAAGAGTTTGTAACAATCTATTTGACACAAAAAGGGATTAAAACACAGCCGAAAATAGAACAGCGGATGCCGATAAGTGAAGATACAGACGGTGGATTTTCAAGGCAAAGCGAGGAAGCTCGTTTCAAACAGAGAAGCAGAAACGGTGACGGGGAAGAAGGGCAGGAAAACGTGAATATTTGAGGGTACCGATAGCAGGAGCCTGTTTGTCATCCTCTCCATCTGCCTGGTGGAGAGCAGGAGCTCGTTACTGCCAGTCCACCAGTTGTCAGCTCCTTCCACGCACTCAAACATTTATGAGGGCGCGTGCGCAGCGCACACACAAACGCGCGCGCTCACACAGATAGCAGATGGTAATTGAGGGCAACCACTATTCGCCACGAGCACCTGGGGAAATTAGCTTCCTCGTCCCTTGGCCAATCAGACACAGAGGAGCACGTCCCCGAGCCAATCATTAAGGGCCAAATTAATTCGCCTCTAATCACCCACACCCGGACACAGGATGCCAAAACACGGCGGCGGAGGCGGACACGCATGCGCGGAGGGACGCGTGGACAGAGGCGGGGTAGTGTGGGAAAGGAGGGACACAAAACCCCAACAGCAGGAGCAGAAAGAGAGGAAAGGCTGAGATGAGGAGCAGAGGAGATTCAACTGGAAGTAGAAAGTATTCGGATTAGGATTAGCTGATCAAATAAATGATCAGCTAATCCAGAGCGAAATGTCGTTGTTTTCATTGGTCATGTTTTAAAGGCCAAGACAGGGAATGACCCTGGAGCAGCCTGGCTGTCATCACGACCACTAATGACAAAAGAATCTGTTGGAGGGGATTATGCTGCATTCAAGTTTCCTGGGAAATGGGAACTCTGAGTTGGGTCTGACGTCAGATCCGAGGTATTTAGTTTGGAAGTTGGGATTTCAACACGGCAGCGCCCCAAAAAAAGTTTTAAGCTTTCTGTCAACAAACATCACTTTGATTGGCTCCTTTTAGAACTTCAGGCGTTAACGGTGATATTAGACGCATTTGTACCTGTGTGTCTTGTAAAATAAAGATTTTTCCACAAAGTCTGTTACTGTTAATGTGAGGAGCAGCCATATTGAAACATAAAGTCTCGCCTTACGACTCGTAACTGGAGGCAATCTCAGTTTTCGGTGGGAAATCTGACCGGAGGATATTCCCGTTTATTTTTCCAACTGGAAAGTTATAGTTTTCCATTTCCGAGTTCAACTCAGAAATGGAAGGATTGCATTAAACCAACCAACTCTCTTTGGGTTCTGACTCCCAGTTTTGCACATATAGACTGAAATGTTTTCTCTTTCTTATTTGTAGCTCAATCGCAGTTTGATCAGACAGAATGCAACTTTGAGCACAAGTATTTAAGCCTTTCCACAAATATTTAATTGGATGTAAATCTGGACTTTGACTGGGCCATTCTTTGTTCTAAACCATTCCAGTGAACCTGAGGATATGGGTTTAGGGTTCTCCTGCTCAAATGTGAACATCTGCTTTGTTCTCAAGACTTTGCAGCCTCCAGCAGTTTTTCTTCCACTGCTCTCCTATATTTAGCTCCATCCATCCTCATTCCTGAGCTGCTTCCCCACACTTTGATTTTGTCAAGCAAGTTTTTGTCATGTTTGCTGTGTCCCTTTCATGGCCTTTGGCTTCAGCCTTACCTCCTCCAAACCTCATCCGTACCATCCTTCAACCCCAACTCTACCTTCTCCTACCCTTATCTCTAACTACTCCATCCCTCATTCCTACTTTCTTTGTTCCACATCCCTTCCTTCCTCATCCTTCCTCGTATTCCTTTCACCTTCATCCCTCCTTTGTGCATCCATAATTTTCTCCCTCAAATCTCCTTCTTTCATCCATCACTTCTGGCACTTTCTTCAGCCCTGCTTCTTTGATTTGTCACCCGTAGCTACTTCTCTCTCTGTAGTATTTGATTGGTCCTCTTTTTCCCCCACTCCATCTAAAATTCATCTGTCGTCTTCTCTTAAAACACCAACAATTCTCTGAAACCGTCACTGTTGTGACAAACTGTTGTTGTGCCGTCGTCCGCACAGAACATGCTGACTTCTTTTCTCCAAGGCTCCAGCTGGAGTCTTGTATTGTCTACATATGCATTAATAAAACATAGTTCCCAGCATTCTTGTTGGAAAAAGAAAGGGATGGGGGGCGGGGGGGGGAAGCCAACGTCTAAAATAACTTAAGCTTTGCATGCCAGAGAGACGATGTCACAGAGGCGGAAAGAGCGTATCATGTTAGGAGGGCAAAGAGTGACAAAACTCACATTCTTGTTTGAAGGTAAAATATTCTGTCAGATGTCTACATTCATGGTTTCCTCGTAGAAGAAAGAGCGTCTTTGGGTAGAGGATTTTCAGTGACCACAGGTAGAGCACACACTGAAAGGTTCAGGAGAGAAAAGACAGACATTAGAAGTTTGTTACCTTTAACAAAAGACGCAGCAGTAATGGGTGAGTCATATTAAAAATGTTTCCATCCCCACTCCACATGGAGTCAAAGTACGTAATCTCTGGTTCAATGTTCCTTAGGAAGTTGAAGAGAAACTACAGAGTTTTGTAGCCATCAACAAAGTTCTTCTTTTAGTTCTGGATGAATACTTTACCACTCCTTTCATCAGAAAGAGTTGTTTTGTTTTTTAATTGGTTGGTTTCTTGACTTTTAAGATGTCAGTAGGGTTTTTGGTCAAGGCCTTTCCAGAAGGTTCAGCTTCTGGTTGCGACATTCAGCTGTGTTTGGGTTACCAAATGATAATAAACATGTTTCAAATTTATTCTGGACATACTTATTCAATGTGGACAACACAAACACATTGGTGCCAACCAGAGGCCTTGTCTTTAAAGCATTATAGCACATAAGCTAATTTCCAAAACCTGTCCACCCCACTTGAACTCAACCGAAGCGCCCTCACACCTTGGTGGCAGACTGAGCAGAAACTTGGAGATTTGGTTCATTCCAGCGCCTTCCAGTTTATGATGGATTAAAGCCTTGGTTGTTCCTGGTTTTCCAGTTTCTTCTCTTCTCAGATAACCGCTGGGGACAGATGAGTGAAACTTTGACACAGCTGGCTGTTGGAACAGAGCAACGACGTGGCACACAGACACAAGTTCTGGTTTTGGATCGGCGAAATAAGGCCGGCGTTAATCAGAAATGAAGCGTCAGATATTCCTGGAATATGGGTTTATGCAAGGAAACCAACCAATCTGAATCTGCTGTGGAAATTGTGATGAGTGGTCAGATGTCTTGCTGGACATATGAAAAGAACCTCAGCACCAAATCACTTTTTTTTCTGTTTCACTGATGATGTTTAGTAGTGATATTGTCAACAAGCTCAAAACAGGACGGCTTGATTGCATAATTACAATTAATATGGCACTAATGCAAGTGATCATCACTGCATGTCCAAAAATAAAGTAATTGTTAAAATGTTGGTGTTTTTCAGCAGCTAACCATGCTAACAGGCGTATCGGACTCCCGTCTCTATTCATGCTAAGCTAAGCCATTTCTTGCTCCTTATTTTTAAGGAAAAGTTCAGTTGCATGAGGCAGAGTCTGAGCCTTTCTCTTCCCATCATTAAACCCAGACTGGAAACTCGGAGCTCGGCGCAGAATCACGACCGAGCTGTTGCGAGGATTTCCTCCCCTGAATGAGCAAGCCATTCTGTAGTAATTAACCGAGCCGGAGGCGAGCCGATCCTTCCCCCGGCCCAAAGATAGACGCAAACAGCTCTCTTTGACAAGAATCGACCCGGATCAGACTGCGCTCATTAGGTTAACGGGAGAAAATTAATATGAGAACGGCCGCAGCTTCGCCTGACATCTTTGCTGACCCAGTGCGTTTTTTTTCCTTTCTTTCTTTCCTTCTTTTCTTTCCTCCGCTCCTCCTGCTTAGCCGGCCCCACAAATGACTCAGAGGATCTTCTTTCACCTTCACACAGTGTCGTCCCTGCTCTACATTAAGTCCCTCGCCTCGGTGCCCTTGGAAAGTGTTAACAAGGTGGCCTAAATATCGCTCCCTCGGCTCGAAATACTCCCCATGTCATACTCCATTGTTGCTCAACAGGCTTGTGGTGGAAAATACCAAAGTTATTGATGAACTGGATGTCCTAAAACCAGCCTTTCTTTTGCCTGTGCATCTGCCACTCGTGTTTATGGTGCGTTCGCATCCGATGGGCCTGTAGACTCGGTTAGACTGGGGACCAAATTTGCAACATTTGTTCCATTTTCAGCAGGTGCGGTTCTGTTTCACACTGCTCCAAGTCGAACGAATGAAACCCTTTGTTTCCCCCCCCCTTCACCTTTGGGGGTGCTGCACCAAGAGCCATTGAAGGAAATGACACACAAACCTCTGAAGAAGACACTGAGCGCAACTTCCCTCTGCATCACATGTAAATAAAAATAGAGCTGGGTTTCTCTTCCGTCTTTGGTAAAAGACCTCTTGCCATTTTCCCCAATGCAAGGCTCTCACAGTGGTTTTGGTTGTTTTTACCCAGAATGCCCTGCACCATAGTTTGCACCCTGCTTTTTGAGAGGTCTGTGATCTGCTTTAGCCCACAGATGCATTCGAAGCACACCAGCGTTCACGTCAACCGAACCAAGACTGAGGATATTAGGTGGACCAGACTTTGCTCTTTTGGTCCACACACTTTTATTTCGAACCTTAACATTTTTGTGAAGGTGTAGCAGAGATTAGATCAGTGAGACGGAACAAAACTCACATGGAAGCAACATTTGAATTTTAGTTTTACTTCTCAATAGGTTGCTTACATAGAAAGACACAAGCTGCAGGACACATTTTTGGTCCTGCAACTTCTTAAACCATATTTTACATTTCATTTCACTGAAATGTTGCAGAACCCCAAATTGGTCTTAAGAAGTTTTTCTGTTCATGGTCCCCCACAATAAAGAGGTGGGATTTACACCCTTGGTTATGTAACACACAGCACAGTGTTGAAACTGTGCCAATGAGGGGGGCAACGGTTCCCCCAGGGTACCACACAGTAAACCTCAGGGACAGCACACCACTAGCCCTGTTTCTCCTGCACGGTCACTGCGTTTGCAGCACAGCGAGCAAAGAGCGATTCTGACTGAACGCACACCCGAAACAGACCAGTATTCTCTTGGCTGCGCTGTTCCTCACCTCAATACTGAAGTAGCCCCTGTCCACATAGTCCCCAAGGAAGAGGTAGCGTGTGTTGGCAGGAGAACCTCCCACTTCGAATAGCTTCATCAGGTCGAAGAACTGGCCGTGGATATCGCCGCACACTGTGGAGACAGCAGTGGGCACATGTGAACAATCCAGCTAACAGACGTGGGAGTGTTTTTGCTTCGCCGGCTCCATATGGCCCGGCTTGCGTCCGCAGCAGCAAAACCGGATCTTGTCCCGACTGCCGATCTGAAAACGCCACTCATCAGACTCACAAACAGAAGGACTCAAGGGTGTCTTTATTTCTTTCATTTATGTATTTTAAAAAACCTTCGAACTGAATTGCAAAAAAACGGTGGATAATTTTTTCCATGTGTTGTCGAATACCGCTCTGTGTTAAGCTTCTATTCCCCCCCCCCAAAAAAATAAAAGAATCAGTGGAGAAGTACCTGGTCTCAGTACACACCTACTTGAACCAGATTTTGTGGTGCTACTGCACACTTCATTGTATTTCAGTGGGGTTTTATGCCACAGGCCAACAGAGTAGCAGATAATTGTGAACTAAGAGGAAAAGGACACATGGATTTCATTTACTCACAATGAAAGTGTGTCCTAATTTGAAGATCTATATTTTGGTGCAGTTATATTCAGCTTCGCACATGTAACTACCAACAGTTTGGGTCATCCCTCAGCGCAAATTAGCTCAAGTTTTATTAAATGCTACTGTGGCAAAATTTTGTGATTCAATCTGTATTGAAACACTTAGGTTTGTTCTTTTAAAGAGCCGTTTTGGAAGGTTGCAGACTTCTGACCGAGAGGATGAACTAATATTAGCACCCGTAGTGGAACTTGTAAAACAATTTCACAGCAAATTTCATTTTAGAGGAAGAAAAAAAAAGGTTTTAAGATGACAACATAGAACTTGTTGGCATAAATACTTCTAAGATGTTTTCCAGACAGTGGAACACGAATGCAGATCGATTTGCAGGACCTCGGGACTGTCTATCTGCAGAATCTCACCATCGCCATCTGTCTGGTCTCTTCCTTCACTTTTCGTCACATTTCCCCAACTCAGCGTTTTTATTATGATGCCCGCTTCCTTCTCTCTGTCTGTCTGTCTGTCTCCCACTTTAAGGTCTGCTCCTGCTCCAAAAGGCTTTACTTTCACTTGACCTGGCAATCGGCAGTGACCTGTGTGTTGTCTCCTCAGACTTCACCCCGGTCTCCTCTCACAAGCTTTTCAAAACCCTGTCAGTTCCAGTTTCAGCCCTCAGCTTACTTGACAATCACAACCATTCTGAATATCTAACCGGATCCAATCTCTGCGCCTAATGTTCATCTGCGTTTCCCTGGCTCGGGCAGGAAAGCTTTCTTTCTGGATCAGAGTCTGTGCGGAAGAGGAGGAACCTGACAGGAGGAATCAATATGCCGCTCGTCGGGAGCGAAAAGGTTGGCGGACCTCTGCACTAAGCTGCTTATGATCGGCTGTCTCTCCATCTGCCCGTCTGTCTGTCCTCGTCCCCGGGGATCTGTACCTGTGAAAGCTGAGCGATGTTCCCACACTGTGTGGGCAACAGCGGCCCACGCAAAATTATCTCACTGCTCACATTTGCACACACACAAGCTGAAGCAGACGCAAAGGTGCATTAACCAAACAGAGTCAATAGGTTGTGAGTGTCTCAGTCCGACTGGCTGTTTCTAAAAGACGTTTGTTTTTTAGTCTTTTATTTCGCTTTCACTCTATCGTCCTTCCCATGACATTATCCTCCACTCAAAACATTAGCAAGGCCGGGAAATACATGACCAAATCAGCGAAGTGGGACTGAACTGCACTCCATTTAATAAAGGCCACAAAGTGTCCAAATGACAGAAAAACATCACAGAGAACAGACTGAGAATAATTTGGGGCTCAACGGAGAACGCAAGAGGAAACAACCCTGTCATCGGCAAATAACAAATTCTCCTAACAATCACAATGAAGTTTCTAATCAAGCCACTTAACAAGTACATTGGTTTTATGGCATCGGAGCAGATTCAGTGTCAAATGTTTAGAGTTTAAAACCCAGAGTTAGTCGGTCCAAATCTTACTCGGGTGCTAAATAAAAGTGGAAAATAACTATCTTCAGCTCATACATATTCAAGCTAGTGCCAACCTGACACGCTGAATATTTAACTCTCATGAATGTTCAGCTGTCTCCACTGTCGACGCGCGTTAGGATTGCATTTCTTTGCCTGGAAAGCATGTAGCATCACCGATACACTTCGTTGGAATTAGCGATTTAACGGCAGAGGCTTGAAATTGGGCCTCTGAAGCTCCTGCTCTTTCTGAAACTCCGCCTCCGGGAAGTCATCGCGACATGGCTCCCCTATTAAACACATTAACATTTTTACAAACGTTTCACTGAGAAGTAGCTTCTGTAATGACCTCAGCTGTTCCAACTGGTGTGCTAATTGCGGCTGGCTAGTCTGAAGGAGCTCAGTGGGGAAAGCCTGTCCTGTGAGGTGGAGGCTTGGAAACTGGAGCGTGGTCCTTGAAGGCGGAGCATTCAGCTGTACAAAACACCAGCTGAATGCTTGCCATGGAGATTAAAGGATTTCTTAAACAAGTGACACTCCAGGCCTGTTTTTGACAAGGGCATAAAATAACATGACGTAAGGCTTAAAAAAGCCAATTTTTATATTATACTACGCCAGTTGGTCCCTTTCATGAAGCTAGCTTCATCTTTTAGCTAAGCACTAACGTCAGACGAAGTTCATAAACCGTCTCATCGCTGCTGCACAGATCTGTTTTACTCTTCCCCAGTCCTGGCCGCAGCTCCTTACCCGTGACTGGCGCCTCAATATCCAACATGGTGCGCTCCTGGCGCAGGATGGCGGCGCCCTCATCGATGATGCGCAGGGCCACGGCCTCCTCCAGCCGGCCCTCCTTTGTGAGGTGAGCTTTGAGCAGGTCCACCCGCGGGCGGCCCTCCGAGTCAAACACCTCCTTCATGGTCAGCCGGTGGGCCAGGGGGAAGGGGACCGCTGGAAGGAGGAAGACACAAGAGAGTGTTATTCAAGATGGCCGCGAGGACTGTGAGAGTAGGCACCTGGACGTGAAGAATGGATTTTGTGCGTCTTTGTTTTTTCTTTACGGGGTTTCTTCTGGGAAAATCTGAATTTTTCAGCTCGATCTTGTTCACATGTCTGGCTCTTTTTATGCATGCCAGTGTGTGAGTGTGCAATCTGGAGGTCTGTGCTCGCCACACTGACGCAGGGGCCTGCCCGAGTCATCTACCCGCCTCTGTTCTGCAGTAACGTCTTTCTTACATAATGAAGGCCCCCAGGGCCCTGCTGGAGAGAGAGTGGGGGTGAGGTGGGTGGACCCACGGTGAGTGTGATACAGCAAGAGTGCGCAGCTGCACGTGAGGAAGCACACACATGGAAAGAAAGACTCCACTAAACACTCTTACGCATAATTACAGACCAGGTTTGGAGCAAGGAAAAAAAACATCTATAAAATTTAGAGAGAAACTGAAGGGGTAGGGCGCCGGGGCGCAGGCGTGCATTATGTATGACACAATGGTATTAAGACAGAGGGCAACGCATGTTGCACCTAACACACACACACGCAAGTACAAGTTCATAAACGGTATTGTTATGTAGGATCCACAGAGCCTGTTGGAGCCCCATCAGTGCTAACACAGATAATGGCCTAGATCAGACACTAAAACTAGGCCTGGCTCTCTTTCACACACACAGTTTGTCTTTCTATCTTGACAAAGACTGTACCTTGATTTCCATTAATTGTTCATTAATTTCTTTGGCCTAACTATGACCTTAATCCTAAACCTAACCATTACCAGTACTTGCCCAACCAAGTACTGGTACAAACCAGCATCTTGTTCTACGCTTCGCTTCGTCCAGAGGGTCTGGGCTCTCAGCTTGTGAGGATTTCCCACAAACCAGCCAGAGAGTATTGAGTAAAGTTCAAAAGAAATATTAATTTATTACAAAAAATCCAAAAATCATTTCAAAATGATAAATCGGGCCCAAAACTGAGGTCAACATAACAAATTACAACTCAGGTAGCAACACAAAGAACTCAAACAAAAAACTGACCTAACTAACAAGACATGAAGAGAACTTAAATAGTGGCTGATCAAACCACTCCTAAACAAAAGGGATAATTAAACACGCACACAAAAAACAAACAAATACAGAGAAACATTATTAAATCTTTAAATTAAATAAATATTAGAACTGAACTAACTTTCAAAAAAAAAAAACATTAAAGAAATAATGAAACTAAACTAAAAAAACAAATTTCCCCCTCCCTGGCGAGCAGATGGAATGGCCCACTGGAAATCATCTTAATTCCATCTGTAGCTCCAGGGGAAACTGGTAAACTCAAACAAAAGAAGTTTAGTGTATTTAACAAAAATTACAAAGAACTGAGAAATAAAGTTAACTAAATGGGTGCACTACACATAGTTAACTAAATTGGTCAAATTAATGAAAACAAATTTAAAACTGAAAATCTAAACTATTCAAACAAATATATAAAGTAATATTAAAGAAAAACATAAAACAATTACTTTTATTCTGTGACAGCAGGGACAGCTGTCACACAGCTATTGAGAAACGATTGCTTCCTGGAAGCGTGGACTCTGTTGAAGTTTGTCCGTGACGTATGTGAAGCGATTTGACGTTTGTGGCGCTTACTGGAAATCGCCTGTGCTGGAAACAACCATTCTCCATTGCAAAGAAAGAAGCACCTCGCTGACCGAGGCAGCTGTTTAAATGAATTCAACGTCTGGTGGTGTGATCAACACGGACTGAACGGCTCAGTTCACTTCCTTTGCTGCCGTTGCTAAAACTACCCAGAAAATTTTAATCATGCTTCACAACCTCTCCTTCTGTTTGGCCTGGTAGATATGGGAATCCAAGTCAGTGGGAGAAAACCCAGACTGAGCACTAATGGGAAATGAAAATTAAGCGATATTCCATAGTGAGGTAATGGTTTGCCTAAAACTAATCTAGACTCAATTCATACCTTAGCCCAGATCCTTACCCAATAACACTGCTTCTTTTGGTGTTGTTGGGTTCGCTCTTTATGGAAGCCATGAAGAGCGAACCCAACAACATAGTGTGAGTTAGGAAAATGGTCTTCACAATATACCAAATTCAAGGCCACTCACACATTTCAACTCTGTCACTTTGTCTCTGATTAGCAGTTGTCCCTTTGCTCCTTCTTTACCTCCATTTCACCTCCTTTTTCTCTTATGGCGTAAATCTTTCTTATTGCTGCTTAACTGTCTTGACTCTTAAAATCAGAAGGCTTAATTCAGTGGCTTCTTTTACTTTGCTGAATTAACCCTAACTCAAACCAAGACAGAAACACCCCACATCCCACAAACACCACAGTCACTCCTGCTCTGGTTTTTTTTTCCTCGTACGCTGTTCTCTCATTTAGGCCATCACAAAACATTTTTCTCCAGAACCTATTTCGGGGAACATCGAACCTTCCGGGACGCATACGGACTCGCTCGAGCACATATTTGGGTACCCCTGAAGTATCGGAGGGAACCTCGGGGGCCGCGTGAGATTGCAGTTGTACTTCCTCACACCCCAGACCGTGACACTTTTACGTGCCTGGAGGTTGAACGGGACACACAAGAGCACCCTGGGACGTCCCGGGACCCTCGGGCGGCCAAGCGCCGGGGGCTTCTGTTTTCCTGCACCCCAGAACGGCGGCTCTCCAAAGCTGAAACCAGCTTTGCATAAGAAACCATGGACTGATTAATATTTCAAAAGGTTTTGGGCACTGCAGGCTGTCAGATAACACAAGCCAAAAGAAAAAAGAAAAAGAAAAAGAAAAAGAAAAAGAAAGAATTACTTGTGCATGTTAGAATATGTGTAACTTCTTATTGAAAAATAAGGCAGCCAGTAACAAAGCATCCAATATGGCTTCTTGCACAACTGATGGTATATATTATTAAAAAGACAGACACATATCTGTGTTGCAGTAGATTTCCAGCCAGGGCTTAAAGCTTCAGTTTGGGTGCATGTTGAGGCATTGAGTGAAACTCTTAAATTGTGAGAGGAGTGTGAAAATAGGGCAGGTATGAGAGAGCGGAGAGCAGCTTGGGGAAGGAAAGGAAACAGAGTTGGGAAACTTTCAACTAAAACAAGAGAAGAGGGTCTATTCGTCATCATTATCATCATGAAACTGCTTCAATGTTTGATGGCAGTCGAGTAGTTTTCAATCACATTTTGCCAAAATGTTGAATTAAGAAAAAAAATCTCCAGAATGAGAAGAACAAGCCCACGCCGGAGTTTAGCATGCTAATTCTTTCTAAATCACGTCCCACAAACATGCATGTTGTGTTAATAATCGGCGCTTGGTTTCCTCCCCTTCGTGCGTTAGCCCTGACAGGGCCGACGCGCGCCACACCTCCGGACCAACATCGACCGCAACCATCTGAGCGATCAAACTGGAAAAACTGATGGATTGATGTTTTACTTCTAAAGCTTTTTCTTCTTCAAAGCAATTTTTTTTCCCAGGCACAGTAACAGATTGATCCAATGTTAATAAATATTTAATTGCACACAGAGGTTAGTAAGCCTGGAGCTGAGCGCTTAAGCATGAAAAGTGTGTTAGAGCAAACAGTAAACTCCATGTTTTTTTGTTGTTGTCTTTTTTTTTCTAGCTCACGCGTGCTGTGGAAAAAAATCTGGGACATTTGAAGTTTTGACTCAAGTTTTACAAGAGTGGCTTTAACAATGAACTATGCTGCAATGCCATTGTGTGGCTGGAGTAATTATCAATGTGACATATCAAAGCTGGAGGAAAATGACAGATCATCGCAAATCCAATCATGTATTGGATCATCAGTGGATCATGTGTGAAAAAGCTTCTGTAGCTTCACGCAAAAACAGCGGCGGAACTGGCATGACCGCACATATCTTTGTAACCAAACAATAATCTCAACCTTGGAACGCTAACTTTGCGTCTTCGCCTGTGAAGTGCGGATAGCTTTCATCCAATTTTTATTTCTGTTTTGTTTTTTTTAACCACAGTCCTGCCGATGAACCACACTGCAGGGCTGATGTGACTCGGTTCACCACAGGTTGACGCTATGTACACAACAATAATCACGCAGGCCAGACATGAATGAGGCTGCAGTCCTTCGAATCCTGCACACCGATACTCATGGATTCACCACCACTGCTCTGGAATCGAACCACCACGACAAAATACTACCTCATACGATACGGTTTTCTATGAATGCTCAGAACTTTATAAAATCTGTAATGTTCAGTCTGTGTTTGAGAAGTCCAGTTGAAGACCTTAAAGCAGACTTTATGTTTTAGCAAGGTTTCCGTCCAGTATCCAGGGGATATAGCCAATTTAAAGTGAAGGTTAGGTTAGTCTGGTAGACTCGATTTGATTCGAGACCAAAGTTACGTTTATTACATTTTTTTTTTTTTTTGTTGGTGTGGTTCGATTTCACCCTGCATCATGTCAAGCAAACTAAACTATTTGAAAAACTTGTTCCCCCTCCTGGCTGCACCAAGAGCTACTGACGGAGATGACACAAAAACCTCTGAAGAACACACTTCATGGAACTTCCTTCTTCAGAAAGTGTGAACAAAAATAAATTTCAGTGGGCGGTTTCTTGCCCTAGCGGCAGACTCTTGCGTTTGCTTTGGTTGTATTTACCCAGAATGCCCTGCGCTGTAGTCCACTTCCTGCTTTTGGAACAGTCTCCGGTTCGCTTGGTGTTCACATATGCATTCAAACCATGCCGGAGTGCGCTTCAATCGAACCGAGACTGCAGTGTTTAGGCGAACTAGAGATTGTTGTTTGGTCAGCATCAGACTTCGTTCACACCTCCCCAAACAAATTCTACCAAATGAACCGGAGCCGAATCACTTCAACCTCAAAGTTGCCCCATCCTTTCAGCGCATCTGTCTCTTCTGGTCCAAAGGAGGCAAATTTTCACTGATTTAACCCAACATTGTGTTGCGGGAGGCAGCTG